ATGGATTATTACACTATAGGTATTGAGTTTCATGACCATTTTTTAAAAGCTATGTTGTAGAATGTTATTTGCCTCATATTTCAGTTTTCTAATGCAACTTATTATTATTATTATTATTTTCATTTTAAAACCAATGCAACTTATTATAGACTACTATATCTGTATTGAATTGCGTGATCATTTGTTTTAAATAAAAGCTTAACATGCTGTTTAACCTGCTTTCTCATCTTTTTTCAATAGACCAAGCACGTAAGAAATTCTTTTTATAATGATATGATATTGATAGTTGAACCCACATGACCTTGCTTTGGTATCATATTAAATTGTGTGATTGTTTCACCTAACATATAAATAAATTTGCTTACTGCAACTATATAAAAATATGCTTTGGCGGAAGTATAAAAGTTAAATTTGTATTTATCCTACAGATTGACAGGATATCTGGAATTGCTGCGAAATATGTTGGAGGGAAACCACTGCTTAATTTTCCTCAAATTCCTCCTCCGGAAGCATCTTGCTCACTGGATCTTGGTTTTAGGCCTCAATCAAGCCTTCTTGGAGAAATGTACAGTGCTGGTGACCTTCTTAGAACTGCAATATCAGGCCTTACAGATTCTGAGAAGCCCATTGTTATTGAACTTGCTGTTGCTGCAATGGAGGAACTTATTAGAATGGCTCAATCTGGAGAACCCTTATGGATGCCAACCTCAAACATCAATTCTACTGAGATTTTAAGTGAGGAGGAATATGTTAGAAATTTCCCTCGAGGGATTGGCCCAAAACCATTGGCACTAAAATCTGAAGCCTCACGAGAATCAGCAGTTGTTATCATGAACCATATTAATTTAGTTGAAATTTTGATGGATGTGGTAGGAATTATATTTTTTATTGTGGTTTTGCTTATTCTTCATTCTTGTTTTTTCATTGCTGAATTTTTCTGTTTTGTTAATTATTATTGTATTGATTTCAGAACCAATGGACAAATGTTTTTGCTGGCCTAGTATCAAAAGCAATGACCCTTGAAGTTTTGTCAACTGGCGTAGCAGGAAATTATAATGGAGCATTGCAAGTGGTATTGTTATACTACTATAGATATGCTTCTTGTACTACTCTTTGTTTTATACATTATATACATATATGTTTGTATGTATATATCTATAATGATATTATTATCATTATTTGAAAATGTGAAGCTAGTACTGCAAACTCTTTCATTCTTTTTTAAACGGATGGAATATATTCTAATGGATATTTCTGTTGTTATGTTTTAACTTTTCAGATGACAGCTGAGTTTCAGGTTCCTTCTCCACTTGTTCCAACTCGAGAGAACTATTTTGTGAGATATTGTAAGCAACATGCTGATGGAACTTGGGCAGTGGTTGATGTTTCCCTTGACAATTTACGCCCTACTTCTGTGTCGCGCTGCAGAAGAAGGCCATCCGGTTGTTTAATTCAAGAATTGCCAAATGGTTATTCCAAGGTAATGCCATTTTTGAAAGTATAAACTATTACCTGATAATGTAAGAAAACCTATAATTATTGTCACTGCATAAAAGTTAAACTCTCTATTATGTACTTTAACACTTTGTTATTCTCTAGGTTACGTGGGTTGAACACGTTGAAGTGGATGAAAAAGCTGTCCACAGCATCTACAAACCTCTTGTCAATTCAGGTCTTGCATTTGGAGCAAAACGCTGGGTAGCAATATTAGATAGACAATGTGAACGGCTTGCAAGTGCAATGGCTAATAACATCCCAACAGGAGATGTTGGAAGTAATACAAATAAATCTCTTGATTTAGTTTTCAACCTTGTTATAATGGTAAATTCATTGTGAATCTCTATTAATGTTAACAATAATTTGCAGTCATCACAAGTCCAGCCGGACGAAAGAGTATGTTGAAACTGGCTGAGAGAATGGTGATGAGTTTTTGTGCTGGTGTTGGTGCCTCGACAACTCACACGTGGACAACGTTGTCTGGAAGTGGTGCCGATGATGTTAGAGTCATGACTAGGAAGAGTATAGATGATCCAGGGAGACCTCCTGGTATAGTCTTGAGTGCTGCAACATCTTTTTGGCTTCCGGTTTCTCCTAAGAGAGTTTTTGACTTTCTCCGGGATGAAAACTCTAGAAGTGAGGTAAATCATTAAGTCAAATTATCTATGTTGTGATGCATATTATTAATAGTGATATTATACTATCTTTTCAACCAAAAAAGTTAAACTGATCATCTGATATAAGTCAAATTTTACATATTGTGTCACCAAATTTAAATGGTAATAGGTCTACTTAACTTTTATTGAACTTGTACCGACGTCATGTGATATATTACACCACTATCACATTGATGATAAATGATACTCCATCACATCATTGCATATGGATTTTCCTTTTTTGGTTGATTTGGCCGAATGCATCAAAAGTTATTAATGTCCATGTAATTTAGATCAATTTTATGTCATCTGACCATCTGCTAACTATGTACAGTGGGATATTCTTTCAAATGGAGGGCTTGTTCAGGAAATGGCACATATTGCAAATGGTCGTGATCCTGGAAACTGCGTATCTCTACTCCGTGTTAATGTATGGTCTTCTTATTTATCTACCTCATTATATTCGTTTGTGTTTACTCTTGCTAGTACGTAGAAAATTAAAGCAAGCTTCTCTGTTTCTGTAGAGTGGAAACTCAAACCAGAGTAATATGTTGATACTCCAAGAGAGCTCCACTGATTCAACAGGCTCTTATGTTATTTATGCACCAGTCGATATCGTTGCCATGAATGTGGTGCTAAGTGGTGGTGACCCTGACTATGTTGCTCTCCTACCATCTGGTTTTGCTATCCTTCCAGACGGATCGACAAATCATAGTGGAGATAATCCAGAGGTTATTGGTAATGTTGGTGGATCTTTATTAACTGTTGCATTTCAGATATTGGTTGATTCAGTCCCTACTGCAAAACTTTCTCTTGGATCTGTGGCGACTGTCAATAGTCTCATCAAGTGCACCGTTGAAAGGATTAAAACAGCTGTAACATGCGAAAATGCTTGATCCAAATTTAAGGTAACACTTCTTTTAACTTACTACACCAATTATTTATTGCAATTACCAAATTAGTGAAATTGTACACTGTCAGTGCATACAAGTTAAACGCTTATTATGAATTTACAGTCTAAAATTTTGAACTTATCGTAGTGTTTTTGTGATCAGTGGCAGACCTTGAAGAGAAAGGAGTTAAAAGAAAGTTGCATTATACACATGCATTTGCGAGACAAAGGGAAGGAGTCGAGAGCGCACCTCAAGGAAATCCTTGCAATGTGGTGAGATTGTTGTTTTGGTTAAAAATTAGATAAGCAGTAGGCATTTCACCACCCTGCAAGGGTTTGTAGGTTCGGGTATTGACTTCACCAGTAATGAACTTTTGATATGTAAACCAGGAACTTATTACTTATCAGCATATAGTATAAACTAGAAACAAAGCTTTTGTATGGACTTTTTAATTTGCTTTAACAGTTGGTATATTTATTTGTGTTTTTGAAAGAAGTTTAGTTTTACTTCTGAGACTTTATGTTTGCTAACAAATTCGTGTATTCGTTTTTCACAAGTTGTTGCATTTGAAATATTTTGATTTTGAAATATATGGCATCACTTTCCTGCTGAGAGGTATAAACTAACTAAAGTCTAGACCATCTGTTGAATGAAAATTGTAAAATGATTCTTCTTAAAGCCGTATGTCATGCATGGCTTCCAACTTATCATATTCTTGGCGAAAAACCAAAATCAGTTTAATTTGGAAACTTTTTTTCTTTAACTATACGAGTTAATTAAGTTTAATGATGATAAGAAATGGATAAATGGGAACATGAGGAAGCAACTAGAAGAGAACAGGAGTAAAAACAAACTGTTTTTCATACTAGGTTTGATAAAGAAAGAAAATGAGGTCATACTTTTTGTTTAATAGAGTATAGTATATGTTATCTGTTTTCAAATCATAACATAATTGTACATGAATACGCCACTGCATATTTCTGGCAATTTTACTACCTAATATATCCCAGAAAATCAACCAATTGTTCAAAATGAACATCATATATCTACTCAAGTACGTATTTTACATTTGTTGCAAGCATTTCCATCTGAAATAGACCTATATTGAGAAAGGAAATAGAAAAATATTTCTATAGTGTGTAGGATAAAAGAACCACACTAAATTTAATGGCATCAACTTTTGGAGTTGTTGCATATCACATAAATGAGCCGTGCGAGACTTTGGTAAAAGTTCAATAATGCCACTTCTCCTGGTGGTTCCCATTTCTGGCACTAAATGCAAATCCGATTGCTGTACAATAGAGCAATATCATTGCTAAAAATATTGAACACCTTAATTAGTCCTTATAATACTTAGTACTTAATATACCTTAAAAGGAAAATTAAAGCAGTGCATATTTGAAAGGTTCTTTCATTTCTTGACTCAAGTTTGAAACTTCTAATTAAAACCGAAGGAGAATATTCATTCTACCATATAGATAACACAAATTTTCACATTTTACTACTCTAGCGTACCTGTACGCGTGGATCATCACTACAAGAAAAGGCTCATTTTGTGGGGTATTTTTAAGTTTTGTGGCGGTTTCAAAAAACGCCACAGTTACCTTCGCCACTAGCATTTCTGTGGCAATTTTGTAAAACCTCCACGACGACCGCCACAATATAAATTTTTAATTTGTGGCGGTTTCTAAAGGCAATTGGCGACGGTTTGTAACACCCAAAATATGATCTCAGTGTTTTTTAAAAAAATAGTGTAAGAGGGTTATAAACCCCCACAATTTGATCTCAATCTTTAAAAAAAAAATAATCATTGGCAGCTTATAACTGCCACAATAGTGGAAAATTTTAATTCAAGGATTCAAAAAATAAACTCAACAACTCATACAACATAAATCCAATTCCATTAAGAATATCTATAGTAACAAACATCAACACATTCAAATTCATATCACACTAAAGTTATAAAAACACATATTTGATAATTTAAACATTATACATTCTACAGTTGCCCATAATAAGTAAATATGCAGATGTGCTAAGTATTTGCTTGGCGATTTGTATTGCTGCCACCTGATCATATTCTCACATCCACCGAATAAAGCAGGCTCACTTTACACATCACATGCTGAAACAAAAAATTTTGATCAAAAACTTATAAAGGAATAAAATTTTGCCAACAAGTTAAAAGGAAGATCTTGGTATATAAATAAACGAAAGGTCTGATTCTTCTTACAAATAAATCTGTTACTTGATCCAACAATAGCATTGAACTGAAGTTGTTAGATACTCGTATGAATAAAAGCTAAAGTACAAAGCTATTTCCTTGGATATCATCACAACACTTACATCCACAAACTATTTACTTGATAGCATAAATTCTTGCCATATATTCATGAAAATCATAATGTAACTAATAAATCATAAGTTAAACACTATAAGCTTTCTAATATTTAGAATAAAACAAATAAATTATAAGTTGTAATTTATCCTAATGATTAACAAACTTGCATCAAAACTGAAGGCTAATAACACTAGGAAATTGAAGCAGAAGAAATGAACTGAATAAAATAGGAATGGTCTGATAGGAGTAGTTAGTTAAACAAACCAAGCATGTTAAAATCTGTTGGATCCAACTTCAAACAAAAGAAGCAACAAATTAAAACGCGCAAAACTTTTTCTAAGGCATGAATTCCACTAGTATCTATATTATCAGTAAAAACTACAAGAGAATATATCACAAATTACTCTTAGTTACTTAATGTAACCTGGAGAAAAGATGTGAAAAGATTTAGGAGATGAGTTAACAAGCATCACTTACCACTCAATGCCATCATAACAACATATCAATCTGTTAAACCAAAATATGCATAAATTAGCATTCAATCAATTTGGCTTCATCAAAGTTTTTGTCCCTAGAATTACTCCACAGTAAGAGATCCTCTTATGGGAACACATACCAATGCAAGATATAAAAAATAAGGTGAATCAAATGTGAATACCATTTCTGAACATAGCTTTAAACCAAATATGAATACCATCTCTAAACATACCTATAAATGAAATAAATAAGCACTACTTAAAGATGCAATATTGTTACCTTTAGATAAAACACCATATTGAATAAAAAATTTATTCGAATTTATATGCATTTGTTGCTAAATAAGTAGCAGTATTTGCCTCGACTACATCATCAATTAGATGGTCTGTAGCTAGCTATATCCCAACTCTTAGTATGGCTCATTCTCATGACCTTCATCTTTCACAACTTCTTCTGTATCATATAAATCTCTTAGCTTTAGGTTTACTAAAAATACTTCATCTTTAATTGAAAACATCATCTACACAGTACACCATATTTATGCTTGAAATACTTCGATGTAAGGCTCATATTCTTCACCCTCAATCTCGAATAATTATATAGAAAGTTGGAGTTCATTTTCTTTTTTCCAAATAAATAAAACATTAGTAGCATACAAATAATTTACCTGCCTAATGATCTTTGTATGCTAGAATTATTCAAATTTGAAGGCATATATAAAATATGCTCAAACACTTATGCGAGCCGTACATAAACTAGTTTTTACAACAAAATGAGTCAACTTACCTGATAGCGGGTTTGAAGTTACACCATGTCCAGTACTCTTAGAAACGCGCACATCTGCAATAATGATATGATGCAAGACATATTACTAGAGGAAGTTTTTATTTGCAGTAATTCATTTTCTAAGGAAAGTGAAAAACTAAACTATTAAAGTATGAGCTAGAGAAGGAAAAATTTGTCACCATAGCAAGTAAAATATATGCATTCATTAAAGACCTTGTACTGTCTTGATATTCCTCAATATAGAAGTGAGAAAAATATTAGGAAGTTCCCTGATTGAATAATCGACAGAATAAAATGCATTTATGCTCTCCCATCAACACCAGCTCTAATGTGATTAGGGGTAAGGCATGGGCCTTAGGCCCGCAAATTTGGGGGCCCCCATTTTTTAAAACGAATAGGCTTATAGGTATTTTAAAAATGATATTTAGTATTTTTAATACAAAATTAGAGTTTTTAATATAAGAGGAAATAGAGCTCTTTAGATATGTAAATAAAGTAATAATTTGACATATTCAAAATGGATAGATGAATAGTTTTCTCAATGTTTCAGTTTTACTCCTTCATTAGATAATGTATAAAAAAATTCACGCTCCCTTTCTTATTATGTCCAAGTCAATCTTTCCTTTCTCCAATATCTTTATATTTCAGAAACCCCTATATATTTTCTTTCTTTCTTTTTAATATTCTTACTCACTTGCTTTCTCCAATATTTTATTACTCACTTTCTTTCTACAAGATTTCATTAGCTCCAATGTTCAACAATACTTTTAAGCTTCCAATAATTTTATACTTCTATTGCTCTATAAAATATTATCTAATATCAACAATATCTCAAGAAAGATTAAATGAGCTGGCTATATTATCAAATGAATAAAGATAATTAGAGAAAATCAATTATAAAAAAAAGATTATTAATAACTTTGTATCTCAAAAAGTTAGAAGAATATACTTCAAATAAAAACGTATGCTATAACTTTCTTTTAAAAAATTAGGCCTCATATTAAACTTTGGCCTTAGGCTCTGCATATACTTGAGCCGCCCATGTCTCCCATATTATATTAATTTGTGGGTCAATCAATTTCAACATCACACAACAGAACTAAATTCTAATTGGAATCTAGAAAAGCTTTGCCTTAAATAAAGGAGCTTCTTACTACAACACTGAGTAGTCTGTAGCCTGAAGCAAAACATCTAATGGTCTTCCCTCGAATGTCAATACTCTTTAAAAAGGAGAATAAATTTTAAGCTAGATTGTCCATAAGGGTTTCATTACTGGCTCAAGCAATAACTACAACTGGAAAACCCAAATTCTAGTGCTACTGAGATAAAGAAAATAAATGAAATTAAGAGGAAAAGTAAAAAAGAAAAAACATCACCTTTAGACGAGCAGTGACATTCTGAAGTTGATTCGCCCAAATGGATACTTCACTTCAGAAATTCCCAAGACACAATGCAATACCAATAAATCGTATTCCTAGCCTGAAAACACCTTAATAAAAAAACTACTTAAATTGAAACAATGGAACAACACAAAAGACATAATCCGTGATTCAAAAATCAGAGCAGGGGCCATAAATTGAGAAGAAGAATAATACTTACAAAATGTAACTAATATGGACAGAAAATTGCGAGAGAGTGCATCTGAAGGGAAGCAATGCACTAGAGAAGAAGTAGTTCAGCCGAAGTGTTGAAAAGGAAAAACCTAGGGCTAGAGGCATAATGGAATTAAAAGAGGGAAAGATTCGGGAAATATTTTTGGAAGAGGAGGAAGAACTTACCGCGTTTACTTTTCGAGCAAAAACAAGGGAAATTTAAGGTAACAAATAAGTTTTTGAAAAAATTAATTATTTTTCCAACAATAAAAATAATATTTTTGAACATAATAAAATTGCTAAAATCCCAAGATAAAATAAAAGTAACAACTAGTTACAGATGTATTGATATCGTACTAATTATTTAAAATTTTAATTAATGAAATATGAATATCTTTTGAGATGTTAAATCTAAATATATTTTTATCTTTTAAATATAAAAAAATTGAAAAAACTATTTTTGGGTAATTTTGTTTATAACAACCAAATAAGATCTAAATTTTAAATGTTAATATAGGTGTATAACAACTAGTCGTTAATATAGGCCAAAAAATACGGACATATGAGGTTGTTATAAAGAGGTTTAACAATTTTTTTTTCATTCTACTATTTAGCTACTGGTGTCATATTCTTAAAAATTGTGAAAAAAGTTCATCCACAATAAAATCAATATCTTAATATTGATAAGTGACAAATAAAGAGAGGAAAAAAAGCCTTCGAGTTTTTAGAAGTTGAAAATTAAACTAAGATTAATTAGTATTCCTAAATTGTCTATGCTATTTGTTACTCCCTATGTTCCAATTTATGTGAACTCGTTTCCTTTTTGGTCTGTCAAAAAAGAATGACCACTTTCTAAATTTGGTAACAATTTAGCTTAAACTTACAATTCTACCCTTAATGTGAAGCTTTTATAACTACACAAGTATCCTAGGCCTCTTTCTGACTTGTTTAGGACCACAAATTTCAAAAGTCTTCATTTTTTCTTAAATTTTGTGCCCAGTCAAATAAGTTCACATAAATTGAAACGGATGGAGTAGTTCATTTAATTCTGTCTAATTAGGATTCACAGTCGGAATCATGTAGGAATAGGTTTTCAAAATTCCAGTCAAATTTGGTTTTTAGTATTATAAATAGTGGTGTAGCTACATAATTTTCTAGGTGGAGAGATAGCATCGATGTAGAGAGATTCAAGAGTTTATAAATAAATAAAAAAGCCTCCTACCATGCTTGGTCTCTAGTATGATAAATTTCTTCCGTATAGCCTTTGTTGAATTTTTTGCTTGTGCTTAAATTATTTTTTGGGGTATTTCAATCCTTTAAATTGGTATCGAAGCCTATGTGAGATCTGTCAAAACAGGTATGAGATCCTAAAAATATATGGATATTCTATCACTTAGTTGTCTCATTTTATTGTGTTTGATGGTAAAAATAATTTTGAAACTTGGTATCAACAGATAAAGAATTTTTTAAATATTGTTGGATTATGGTCCATTATTAACGAAGGATTTGAAAACTCTAGAAGGCACAACATTGATTAGTAACACAACAACGTAATTGGAAAAAAAAAAGACAATTGGATTGTGAGTGCGATATTATCTTGCCATCAAGGTCAAACTGCATGTATCTAACAAATCTTGCATGCAAAGTAATTAAATGAGGCCTGGACAATGTCATATGTTACCACCTAGAATCCACCATAATACGGACCTGCTTGAGGCCTCAAATCACATTAAACAACGCTAAAATCACGAATCACACTTCATTTCGAACTTGATAAACTTTAGAACTTCGAATTTTTTCACTCGATGTCGAAACCTATCAAATCACGTCTGATTGACCTTAAATTTTGCACACAAGTCATATTTGACATTACGGACCTACTCTAACTTTCGGAATCAGAATCCGACCCCAATATCAAAAAGTCCACTTCCGGTCAAACTTCTCCAAAAACCTTCAAATTTCTAACTTAAGCCAAATGACCCCAAAATGACCTACGGGCCTCCAAATCCACTTCCGATCACGCTCCTAATACCAGAATTACCATACGGAGCTATTCCTAGAATCGGAATCCCAATCGGACATCGATAGCATTGAAACGCACTTCAACCCAAATTTATGGAATTCTTCCAAAATGCCAACTTCCACAATAGGCGCCGAAACGCCCCCGGGTCATCCAAAACCCGATCCGAAAATATGCCCAAGTCTAAAATCATCATACGAACCTGTTAGAATCTTTAAATCCCGATTCCGAGGTCGTTTACTTATAATCAACCCTTACTTAATTCTTTCAACTTTAAGCTTCCAAAATGGGAATTTTCTTTCCAAATCCACTCTGAACTTCCCGAAATTCAATTCCGACCACGCGTATGAGTCATAATACCTGAAGTGAAGCTGCTCATAACCTCAAACTACCAAACGATACGCTAGATCTCAAAACAACCGGTCGGGTCGTTACACTTAGCACCATAAGACTTGATGATTTAGAATGTGATTTCACGACATATTAGATGTCCCTTAATCAACAGAGATATAAAATAGGGAGGAGGTATTGCTATCGAAGGAGATCAATGATCAACCTACAAAAAAAAAGACAACAAATTTTGCGAAAATAAATCAAGAAGGTCAGGATTCAAAAATAGATGAAAAAGAATCAGAGGAAAAGTTAAAATAGATGAATTAATTGCAAGTGGTGCACCACTGAAAGAGGATGGTGTTTTACAAGAAAAATTACTGGATAGTCAAGATGAGCCTAGTAATAAAGAAGTATAATGATACACCAAGAGAAAGTTTCTGGTCATCTACTCAAGATTGAGGCGGAACTAGCTTGGGATCCAGAACCACAATAACTCATGATTACAGATATCGAAAATGGAATAAATTTTGTGCCATTATTCGAGATTGCATGTTTCAAGGAGTATGATGAAATATTTATTGATGTCATTACTCTAAAACCTATAGGACGACTAATTGGAATTGAATGGGTGTACAAGGTCAACCACAAGGCAAATGGAGAAGTAGATGATTTCATAGTAAAAGAAAAATATGTTATTGATATTTTGAAAAGATGTATCATAGGGAAAGCCAAATCAATTATGATCAATTTTGTTGATACAATATATTTTAGAAAATTAATGAGAGCCTAAAGTATTTGATTTCTACAAGGTTTGATGTTACTCGTGGCATGCTCAAGTTTGAAGATCTTGGTTTAAGGAAGACTGTTGGAAACTAAACCAAGATTAATTAGTATTCCTAAGCTCTCTAGATTTGGTATTTGTTACTCTATTTAATTCTATCTAATTAGGATTCACATTCGAATCCATGTAGGAGTAAATTTTCTAAATTCTAGTCAAGTTTGATTTGTAGTATTATAAATGAAGAAATAATCCAAATAGTCGCTCACCAATTATTTAAACTAAAAATCGCCAGTAGAGGTATAATGCATGCATATTTTGTATATTATATGTGTATAATAAATGTATAATCTATGTATATGGCTAGGAAAAAAGTAAACAGAGAATATGAATGGCTATTTGTATAAAAAGGGGTGTAGCTATATGGTTTCTAAGGTGGAGAGGTAACTTCGATGTAGAGATATTCAAGAATTTATAAGTGAATAAAAAATTCCCGTTCTCTATCTAGTTTGTTAAATTTTTTCTATATAGCCTTTATTGAATTTTTTACTTGTGGCTAAATTATTTATCGGGGTATTTCAATCCTTCATTAGCTAAAGATAATATACAAAAAAAAATATCTGAAGACAATAAAAGAAAAACTAACAACTAATATATGGAGATAATGGAAAATCTCAGTTTTTGTGTCTACTTTTTGTAGGGGTAGAATGTTGGGGAAAAGACAAAAAATAACAAGGGTTAAAATTGGCATAAATTGCATCAATTTGTAGAAATTTAACTAAAATGTGCAATTTGATTAAATTTTCAAAAGATGGTAAAAAAATGACTAAATATTGCATGAGTTAGTGGCCTCCAATTTGTATCGAATGGCAAAGATTTTGCAGACAATTAAATTTGTATTTCTGGAGGTTATCAGAAACTTCCACAATAAAACTGTCACAATATGAATAATTTTGTGAAATTTAGAACCAAAAAGAATTATTTTGTAGGGGTTGACGCAAACACCACAAAACAAAGGTATAGTGGGAGTTTCTTATAGCTCCATAAATTAACCGCCACAATTTAACAATTTTTTTGTAGTGTCAGTTCCAAAATCCTTCACCCTGGTTATTCCTATCCTTTCTAACCAGGCACATTAACTCCATACCTATCTATACCAAAATAAAATGTAAATAAACACTGACTATTCGTGAATATAGTAAGATTTCCACATTGCATAAAGCAGAGCCTCTAATGCCAGAACATATGGACCATTTCAACTTGGTAGTAAACACTGTACTATTTCTGCTTGGTAGTAAAATGTACGTGGTTCTGCATAAACATTGTACATTTCATACCTATAGTAAGATTTCGACATAATATAAGCAGAGTCTTTAATTTGATGCCAACCACTTCAGCTTGGTAGTAATTGGTGCTCCACAAACATTGTACTCTTCGTACTTATAGTAAGGATTTGCTAATGACATGAGCAGCTAGCATTCCAGCTTAATTGGTATTATAATCGAGTAACATCGTGGTTTATGTTTTAATTATGATTTTGATGATGCATGTAAGTGTAACCCGGCAGATAGTTGCGGAAGATGATAACGAAGACGATTAAAAGTAAATACTGTTACATTAAATATATATATGATGCTCTTTCTTTTTTAGCCAGTATATATTAATGTCGTTCTATATTTGGAGACTGTTTTAACTTTAAAAGATTTTAATTCTTCCCTCAATGACATGCTCATGCCTCATATATAGTAATAGAAATGCCATGGCATATATTAGACCAGAACACAAGTTCTAAGAATATGTCTCAGAAGTATTCAATTTTTAAACTCGATATTCATTTAAAATACTGCTATACAAAATGAAGCTGAGTAGCGTATAATTTGAAAGTGGATGGTTGTTAAGCATATTTGAGAAAGAAATGATTTTACCAGAATATCTGAATGTTGTCGAAAGAAAATTT